TAAATTTAGAGTACCCTTTTTTGACGGGAATTCATAGAACTACTCTAGAATAAAGCGATAACAACGAAAAAAGCGCAAAAAAGATGAACAAAAAAATAGAAAGGGTCAAAAAAGAGCAGAAAAGGGGGGTTGGACGAGTTTCACATTGGAAGAACGGCGGTTAAGGGAGTGTTCGGGCGAGTGCACGAAGGCGACGCAATGTCTGCAGTAGCAGACAACACACCCAAGCAGACACATCGCTCCAATGCGAATGTGGTGAAGGACAGTGGACCACTGAGGGACTCCATCCACTCATCAAAGGAACAGTGGGGGGCGGAGGCCTCCCGTCCCCCACTGTTCCTGCCCCTACTGTGCCCTATCCAGACCGTTTTCCAACCTCATTCCTGCACAAATAGTATCAGAGGGGACGTCGAATTCAAACGACGTGCAGATCTCCGAAACCATTTTTTCGTGAACAGTGCCTTTAAGGATTCCGAGGGAGTATAGAAGAAGGCAAAGAACATTCGACTCCCTTTTTCGATACTGCTGCCCTTCCTGATCTAACGACTAAACAGATGAAGATGTTACTGGCATCAGTTCAAGGAAATCGAGGATCATAAGGACCACAGGTGAAGTGGGGCAGCTGGCGTCGACACCACTTTTGGATGAGCTTGGTTGTGCGTGCTGGAATACCCTTCTGCTGCAAGGACGGGCTGTTTTACTGGAGTGAAATCAACACTTCAGAAAGTCTATTAGTATGCTTTTAAATACATGTCCTTGCCAGTTTTCACTCCAGAACTGACGGAACTGACGGCATCTTGCCGTTGGCCCTGATTCCCATCCTTCAAAATTCTAGAAACATCTTTCTACTGCTCTTATAACAACATTTTATCTTCGTGAGAGATTGCACTTTGTTACTGCTTGGAACACAACCATTTTACTGTTGAGCATTTGCTGTTTTGTGAAAGTTTTCTCGCCAGAGAAAATAATGAAAAGATGCCTGTTCCCACTTTAGTTAGTTATCAACCTTCAGCATTTTTTACCCAACCTGTCTGCTGCGATCAGAAACGAAGTGGCACTCTTGCATATGACAAGAATAGCAACGAAGCTTCCGCTTAACAATCCGCTTCATTGATATTTCGATAGGTCGTGCTCCATCGCCCTTTTGGAGAGTCACCCAAAATTGTGAACGAGTCGCAAACGGACTATTTTATTAGGTTGGCAAATAAGTCCTGCGACAAAATGGAGACCTTTTTTGAATCATTTCTAAATTTTTTCATATCATTCAATTTTCGAAAAATTATTTACCGAAGAAGTCAACAACCTTCCTTTATCCTTTGAGCCAATCAATGATGCCATCTCTTCAGGAGTGAGGGAGCTGTGACTCAAAGAAGTAATTGACTGCCGTCTTTAGATCACATTTAGCTACGAATTTCTTTTCCACAACGGGATGCTCAAAAAGGCGGAGCATATGGTAGTTAAAAGGGGGAACACTCCGGGAGTACGACTGATGAGTAACCTGGAACCAAGTGGGATCGGTGAACTTTTGACGTGGGTCTAAAGCAAATTTTCGACGTGCGTTGCCCCTCTGTAGGGACCTTATTTACGGTTTGATCGTCCTTCTCGAAGGTCGTTGGCTAAATAAAGGGAATCATAGGGGCAAGTGATAGCTGTGTTCATTTAGTCTGCGTTTAGCAACTCATGGTGGATGGTTCCCTTCAACCTCCATGAAATCAAGGGACGATTCTTGCGTTACCCCGAAGGCTGGTATCTCCTGCAACGAAGCGATCCAACCGACTGTTGACCGTCGATCAGTGAGCAGTGCTAGCATTGAATAGAATGCTGATATTTCGAGCCGCTACACCTGCGTTTTTTTCCCTGGAGTCCTTAGTAGAAGGTGATGCTACGAATCGGGTGTTGTCCATTCATTGACCGTAATGCTGCGAAAGCCCACACGCGTGCCCTTATTTACTCATGTGTTGATTGCGCGGGGAACGTCCTACAAGTTTATCACCCTTGCTACCGTGTTCACACTTTTGATACAAATTTTCAACGCTTCAAATTTTTTGTCGCAGGAGTTATTTGCCAACCTAATACTAGCCCTATATTTGAGAACACTGGCTACAGAACACGCTACAATTACCGGCTTTGGTCTTCCTGCCATTACCGGATTTGTCATCGATTGATTCTGTTTTCCTGTATCTTTTAATAGCTAAGTATGATTCAAAAGCCTTCTGTATTGCAATTCATTATTATTATTTAATATTCGTCAATGTTGGAATCACTAAAAATTTTATTATGCGTTCGCCCCTGGTGTGGTAATGATTGCAAGCCGCCTCTGGTGTGGTAATAATTACAAGCGGCATTAAATGAGATTCCACCATATGAGGATATCGGGAGTCTCACTTCAGTAACTATGCATATTGCAAAACCTACTTGTGCAATCAGTAACGAATGAAGTAAAGGTAAATATTATCCTGTTTCCAAAGTTTCTAAATTTCACGCCCATACGAGACCCTGCTGCGGACCGCACAGAGCTAGTTCAATGAAAATGTATACTTTTATGTGACGTGCTAAGAAGTTTTCTAGTGTGTGTGTCCGACCGGAATTTCATAACTCCGGTCTCCGTGCACATAGAGCGTTCAAATTTGGTAGGAGTACGGGGGGGGGG